GGATTCGACTGTAATTGGTCAATTTCTTACGGCTTAAAGCTTAAAACACCTATTGTAGATCCGGACTACTGCTCATTGTAGAATGGGCTTAAGAATAATCGACTGTGATTGGTCAATTTCTTATGCGGGGTCTACAATAGAAGTCGAAGCGGTCGTAGGATCTTAAGTCATAGAAAATTGATCAATCACAGTTGATTATTCTTCTCATATTCGACTGTGATTGGTCAATTTCTTATGCGGGGTCTACAATAGAAGTCGAAGCGGTCGTAGGATCTTAAGTCATAGAAAATTGATCAATCACAGTTGATTATTCTTCTCATATTCGACTGTGATTGGTCAATTTCTTATGCGGGGTCTACAATAGAAGTCGAAGCGGTCGTAGGATCTTAAGTCATAGAAAATTGATCAATCACAGTTGATTATTCTTCTCATATTCGACTGTGATTGGTCAATTTCTTATGCGGGGTCTACAATAGAAGTCGAAGCGGTCGTAGGATCTTAAGTCATAGAAAATTGATCAATCACAGTTGATTATTCTTCTCATATTCGACTGTGATTGGTCAATTTTCTACGACTTAAAACCCTACGACTGCTACGACTTCTATTGTAGACCCCGCATAACAGGAAAATGGCCGGCATGGCCTCTCTTAGGTTTTTCTCTGGAAAAAGAAGTAGAATCTCCTTTTGTCCTCGAGGAGATAGGCTACCGGAGTTATCCACGGATCCGTGGTATTATGCGGGGTCTACAATAGAAGTCGAAGCGGTCGTAGGATCTTAAGTCATAGAAAATTGACCAATCAGAGTCGATTATTCTTCTCATATTCGATTGTGATTGGTTAATTTTCTACAACTTAAGACTCTACGACCGCTACGACTTTTATTGTAGACCCCGCATTATGATTCGTTGAAATGAATTAAAAATCCAACAGAGGGCGCAGGAAGAAGAGGAAGAAGGTTTCTCTCTGTGGTAGTACTTTATTATAATTACATAGAAAAATAATAAAATATGAGTAATTAATGCTCTAATATATCGCAGTATAATCTTCCAATAAATCCATTGTAGTAAAAAATATTTCTGCAATGAATCAGAATAATCGAGATAACAACGAACCTCCAATAAAGGTTAGTTAATCTAGAGATATTTTTAATTTTATAACATGTGCATTTTATGATGTTATAAAGTGTCCTTTAAATCTTCAAGTATTTTCTAAATATTTTATGGTATAACGTATATTTCTTTATACCGTTATTAAATTGTTTTGAATGTGCAGATGTATAGAAGGAAAGAGGAAGAAGACAGTCCTTTGGATACGGATGACGATTACGAACCATATGTACCTGCCAAGCATCGTAAAAAGCAATTGCTCATGAAATTGGGTAAACTCGGACAATTAAAAGAAGAAGCTACTAATGGCATCGGGAAGAGTAGTAGTGAGAATGAAAAAGATGATGCTGACAATGATGATGGACAGGTTTGGGGAAGGAAATCGAATATCTCTCTTCTTGACCAACACACCGAATTGAAGAAATTAGCTGAAGGTGCAGAATCTCCATGAATAGAATTTTAACAAGTAATGAAAAAGCATTACAATTTAATAAAGATTTATTCATAAAATTTTGTTAACAGCCAAGAAAGAGAGTGCCATGGAGAAGCAGTTGAAGGAGGAGGAGAAGATCTTGGAAAGTGTGGCTGAGAATAAAGCTCTAATGGGTGTGGCTGAATTAGCCAAGGGTATTCAATACAAGGATTCTATCAAGACCAATTGGCAACCGCCAAGAATGATACTTAATCTCGGTGAGATGCGTCACGAGAGAGTACGTAGAAAGCTCAGAATACTTGTGGAGGGTGACGAAGTACCGCCACCCTTGAAAACTTTCAAGGAAATGAAATTTCATAAAGGAATCTTATATGGATTGGAACAGAAGGGTATCATCAAGCCAACTCCAATTCAAGTCCAAGGAATACCTACAGTGTGAGTCTCCAATTGATGTAATTGTGCTTATTATTTTTATTGTGTAATACATTTAATGAATAATACAAATGATACAATTAAATACTTGCAGATTGTCTGGTCGCGACATGATTGGTATAGCTTCCACCGGTAGTGGTAAAACGTTGGTGTTTGTTTTACCTATCATTGAATTTTGTCTGGAACAAGAAATCGATATGCCGTTCATTAAAAAGGAGGGACCTTATGGTAAATATTTACAATAATAAATAGAATTATCGATTAATAAATATATACATATATATATATCAATATTAATATTTTCTGATTCATAGGCTTGATAATATGTCCTTCAAGAGAATTGGCTAAACAAACCTATGACATAATCCGACACTACACCAATAGCTTAAAACAAACGGACTGTCCAGAGATACGCTGTTGCTTGGCAATAGGAGGTGTGCCAGTTTCAGAGTCATTAGCTATAATCAACAAGTTAGTAATTATTATTGTTAATTATATTTTTCATATTTTTATCTTTAATATGTTGCAACTTATTTTTTATTATTATTTATAGAGGTGTACATATAATGGTAGCAACACCAGGACGATTGATGGATATGTTACATAAAAAGATGGTTACTTTAAGTGTATGCCGTTATCTTTGCATGGACGAGGCAGATCGTATGATAGACATGGGATTTGAAGAAGATGTTAGAACAATATTTTCATTTTTCAAGGTAACTACTACTTTGTACCTTCTGTACCTTGCATTTTATGCATTTTATGCATTTTATGCAAGGCAGAAAGATCAAATGTTTATTAAAATAATAAAAATAATAACTGTTGCTTGTTACAGGGTCAAAGGCAAACGCTTTTATTCTCTGCTACTATGCCGAAAAGAATTCAAAATTTTGCGCGTTCAGCATTGGTGAAACCTGTAACTATAAACGTTGGTCGCGCTGGTGCCGCGTCAATGAACGTAATACAAGAGGTGGAATATGTTAAGCAAGAGGCTAAGATTGTTTATCTCTTGGAATGTCTTCAAAAAACTGCACCGCCAGTCTTAATATTCGCAGAGAAGAAGCGCGATGTGGATGCCATCCATGAGTATCTGCTCATAAAAGGAGTAGAAGCTGTTGCGATACATGGAGGAATAGGTAGGATATTTCAGATAAACTATTATACATTTTATTAAACCTTAATATACTGATATAAAATTATGCCATTACTGATTAATCGCATTAATTCTTCATAATTAAAATATCAATATAAATTAAATATATTCATTCATTTTATTATATTCTTTCAGATCAGGAAGAAAGATCACGTTCAGTGGAAGCGTTTCGCGCAGGTCGAAAAGATGTACTCGTTGCGACAGACGTTGCATCAAAGGGTCTCGATTTTTCTGATGTGCAACACGTTGTTAATTACGACATGCCAGACGACGTAGAAAATTACGGTAATATATAAGTGATAAATGAAAAATGGTAATTTCGAAAAAAAAAGTGAACCGTTTAACGTAATTTTGTAATTTTTAGTGCACAGGATAGGGCGAACTGGCCGTTCCGGACGTACTGGTATAGCAACGACTTTCATTAATAAAGCGAACGATGAATCAGTACTGCTTGATCTTAAACATTTATTAATGGAAGCAAAGCAAAAGGTACCACCATTCTTGCTGGAACTTTGCTCTGAGAATGAAAAATATCTCAATCTGGGAGGTAAGATATATTTTTCTTTTCTTCATTTCTTTTCATCATAAATTTATGTCGCTATTTCTTGTAACTCTAAAGATATCTTTCTTGTTTTATCGCAGACGAACGCGGATGCAGTTATTGTGGTGGACTCGGACATAGGATCACAGAGTGTCCAAAATTGGAAGCTGTGCAAAACAAACAGGCGTCCAATATTGGGCGTCGCGATTATCTGGCTAGTAACGCCGCCGATTATTAAGTGACGCATTTTAAAATTGTATTTATTGTAAATTATATACAGTACGTAAGGGTGAGTAAAAAGTCCCGGACCGTTGAAATATCTCGAGAACAAAGTATTTTTGGGAAAAATGATTTAGATAAAAGTTGTAGGATTTGAAAAGATCTATTTATTGATCACATCTGTTTGACTTTGGGTGGCGTCACCAAGGGTTACATCGATTTTTGAAATGGGACACCCTATTTTTTATCCCAGAATTTAATAGCTGATGTCAAGAGCTTTTCAAAACACTATTATAAAGTTCATTTTCATTAAGTATTTCTCGAGTTATAAGGTTTGAAATTTACAGTACCGCCGACATTACCACAATCCCAAAGTATCCAACCGACCTAGATCTATAATATCTTATGACCTAGATAACATTTGTCAAGGTTGGCATACATTGAAGGTCGTTCCTCTGTTTTCATTTTTATGTAAAAATGAATTTTTAGTGCAAAAATGAAAATAAGAGGAATAACCTTCAATATCCTTGATCTTGACAAATCCAGGTAATGACCCTGAACAACTTTCAAGAGGTTTTAATCATCGGTCGGACCTTGGATACTGTTAATGCCGGTACCGTAACTTTCAAGCCTCATAACTCGAAAAGTACTTAACGAAAATAAACTTGATTGTGGTGTCAAAAAACTCTTGACATCAGCTATTAGATTCTGGAATAAAAAGTAGGGTATCCTATTAAAAAAAATCCATGTGACACTAATCTTGGCGACGCCATCCAAGGTCAAACAAACGTGATCAGTAAATAGATCTTTTAAAACCCTACAACTTTTATCTGAATTATTTTTCCCAAAAATGCTTTGGTTTCGAGATATTTCACCGGTCTGGGACTTTTTATCCTATATATGAAAATCCATTTCTGTGATAATTAATGTTATCTAGACAATAGTAAAAAATAAAATAAAATAAATATTCGAAATAAACGCTATATGCAATTGTTTATTTATTGTATTGCCATTTTTTTAGTCTTTAGTTTTCAACATAAAAAATTTTGGTAAATAAATGTTTACAATAGGGGATCCGACTCCGATGACCTTGATCCTGATGTATGTTATCAAGATCATGACCTTGAGTGATCTCCAATAGGTGTTAGGTGCTCATTACTTTTATTAGAAAGTTATTAATTAAGAAGTTACTGCGTATATACGTGTTTAGAAATAGAAATAAACCTCGTTTGGCGTGGAAGATCGTATCTCCCAAAATAGAAGGTGGGGTAGATCTCGTTTTACTTGAAATTTGAAAACCTATGTGGAATAATAAAATTACAAACCTCGTTTCTGTCCTCAAACAACGAAACTCCACAGATCTTCCCAATTCATAGTAGTTCCCACTTCCACGTTCTATGCGATGAGACTTGGGCAATGATTCAATTTGAAGCCGTATTTTTGAAAAATATCGTATACGAATAGATACGAAAATACTATATAGTATACGTTACATATTTTATAGATTTTCCTAGTATTTTCGTATGCGATATTTTCTGAAAATAAGTTTCTCATCTAACGGCTGACGGGGTGTAGGTATGCAATACAATACAATGTATTGCACCGAGGTCTTGGTGAATTTCACCATGACTGAGTTAGCAAATGTGAACGAATGTAAGCTAACATAACTCAATACAATGTAATGATGCCTGATTGTTAACGAAGCTCTCTCGTATTAAACACAGTGGCCCGTATTCAGAACGCGCTTTTATCGATAAAAGCGTGTTCTGAATACGGATCATTATATTTAAAAAATTAAAAAAGTGTTGGAGTTTTTTATTTTTTAATCTTATATGAGAGAAATGAAAATTAATATTTACACATTAAAAATATACGCAATTAAAAAAAAAAAGAAAAAATATTGAATCCAATCAAAATTAAGCTGGAACACAATTAATGACGTATAATTAATTTTTTATTTTTATTAAACTCGCTACGTTTGAATTATTAACTATGCACACTAATTCCACACCTGACTCTTTATCCTTATAATTTGAATTGTCAAGAGTTTGCATTACTTTTATTCTTCAATATTATATCACTGTATAAATTAATTTTATTTTCGGTATAAAAATCGCATAAAACAAGAAGATTCTTTCATTCATGTCAACTTTAGAGATACGGTCATTTCGATTAAGAGATACATTTTGCAAAAACGAAACAAAAGCTGTCGCGTCTGTCACCAGTGATTTCTTCATGCTAAATCACATAAACCTTTCAGGCCTGTCATAATACAAAATTCCTGTGCATGATGGCAAATTGATCAATCCGGCCTTGATTAAGAGCCGGTTATACCGGCATGGACTGTTAACGTATTGCAAACTTTCGCAACATGAAAAAATACTGGATCTATTATTTGAGCGCCAAGAAAAATCGTCGCGCTAACCAGAAAAGTTTATCTTTCGGAGACTGTAGAAGATATATTTTTACGAGGTTTTTTAAATGCTTTTTCAATAGTTATTCAATCTAAGTCATTATGTTTTGGATTATTATCCTGAATAATATTAAACAAGCTGTCATAATGTGCAAAGTGTCATAAAAATGTAAATGCGATATCATATTTCTCACAAAGACATTATGTCGATGTGTACCAATCTAAGTGCAGAAAAATTATTATATTTTTATTTAAAAAAAGTCAAACACAGAGTGCTTTCCATGGTGACACAAATCGACATAAGTGTTGTTTTATCTTTGTTACTCATTGGAATATCAAGAAAGATAGAATAGTGTATCACTAAATGGAAAGCACCCATAATTTAGCAAATAATTCTTTGTTATATTTCTTGAGGATAAAGTAGCCTTTGTATCGCGCTCTCCCTCTCTCTCCCCCCTCCCCTCCTCTCTCTCTATCGTAATACAATTTTATAATATACATTAATATTATATTACTATAAAAATATTGTATATATATATATATATATTAATCTTTAATGTCAAGAATCACCTAATATCAATAACAATCGACGATGGCGAGCCGAAAACCAAGAATTCAACCTCGTCTGACAAAAACGCAGGCACTACGACAGTACTTTAATGTCGAGAATCACCTAATATCAATAACAATCGACGATGGCGAGCCGAAAACCAAGAATTCAACCTCGTCTGACAAAAACGCAGGCACTACGACAGTCAAGAAGTGCTACTGTAGTGAAAGAGTATGAACAGAAGGAAACGGGGCGACAACCACAACCAGTCTTGACAGTTCCTAGCAGAAGGCGACAATATACTCCAGCCGAGCCGAGGAGAGTCGACTTTGCCAGACCAACTATGACGAAGGCGATGCTGGCCCGAGTAAAACATGCGGAGAAGTTCAAACAGGAATATGAACGTAAACGAGAGGAATCCATGCCGCGAAGGAGACCAAGAAGGACACCTGCACCGATCGGTGGTGATCCTAGGTGAACTTTGAAAACTAATATGTGCAGCTTCGTTACATTATTTCAGAATTTCTAAAACGTTTCGCATGCTGAACATCGCTTCCTTAAGGGAATCCTAAAGTGAAGCCCGAACTCTGACGAGATCGCTGTTTTACCAATAAAATGCGACACATCGACATATCTTTATATACTACTACTATATCAATATCATACTCTCATCATGGTTGTCAGGTCCCGAGCACTGTACGGCTGGGGCTCGAAGGTCATGCGCTGGAGATTTCATATTTTGACTGGAGGCCTACCGATTGTTTCATTAAAAAAAAAGAGAAAAAAAAGCTTTTTTATTATTCGTAAAATAACATGAACTGCGAACATAATCACAGACTTTCTTATTAATTTCCACGTAATTTAAATATGCAATTAATAAATACCCCACGCCAGCGAAAAACTGGGGATTTTTCCCATCTGCTGGAGAACTGGAGATTGGTCCCGAAAACTGGAGTCTCCAGTTGAAATCTGGAGACCTGGCAACCGTGACTCTCATACATATGTACAAATTTTCTAACTAATCTTTCGTATTAAGTATCTAAACCTAATTCTTATTCAACATTGTTTACAACAATTAGTATTCAACATTGATCGTTCGTGTAATCTCTAGTTCAAACCAAGATTGTTTTATACGTATGAAGTATAAAACTCCTATATAAAGCAATATTACGAGTCGACGTTAAAAATCGGTAATAAAACTGCAATTTTCCACTTTTTTTCATTTTTGGCATAAAGTCGACCGGTTTGGACTACATTATTGTTTATACTTTAATTATGAAGAAGGATTTTTTAATCTATAAAGACATTTAGAAAAATATAATACTTGTTTGAAAAAATTGATAAAACAGATTCATTTTAGGATCCCCTTATAAGCAATAAAAGATTTTTTCCTAAAATGCATCTTAAATATATTTTACAATTCTTTTACACTCTTATATCTCTAGATTTGGTAGAGAAAGGCTACTACCTAGACACGCCCCGACAGTGTCTCCGCCGATTTCGCCTCCTAGACCAGCGAGAAGGCCAGAAAGACGAGTGACGCCAGAGAGAAGAGCGCCAGAACCGCTTCCGGCTATTCCAGAGAGAACCAGGGAATTAGCGAGATCTATGCATGCCCAGGTGATCCAAGCCGAGCCAGTAGGTGAGGGTCCAATTGATAGCATCGTGATACCACCGAAATCAGTGAACGAGAATCGCACCACTATCGTCAGTATCCCTCAACCAACTGCGGTCAGCGTTGAGGCGGCGACATCTGAAGTGGCGAATCGCTCGATTCAAGTGATCAGGTGAAACTTGAAATTATCCCTGATGATATCCTGTAAAAATAGATGAATAAAATTAGATTGAAAGAAATTCGTTCCTGCGAGATGAAAGTTGGAAAGTTGTGGATCTCCTTTATTCCTTTTTGTCTTTAAGGTAGTACTAGCATATAAAACTATTTTCTTACGAATGTGCTAAAATTTGAAATGTAAGTAAATTGAAATGATGTCTATGTTTATGTACAATTAGAAACATATCGGCCGTCTAGTTTTTGAGATAATTGCAATTAAAATGTGCAGTTTTAATAACATATGATGCATATACGCAACTCAAGCGTCAGATTTTTAATTATAGTATCTATACAATTCTTAGGATTGTTACAAAAAACGAGCACGCGATGAAGGAATATGAAACGGATATTGTAAAAAAAGGTCATAATTTTTTACCGTTTAGTTAGGAAAATAGAGCCGCGAAAAGAACGCAATGTTTCGATTTTCTTTGGCATATGATGGCGACCACGAAGGAGTTCGTGGTGGCGACTGAAGGGAGTGGTACTGTGATAGGGAGTGGAGAGGACGGCCAGCTAGCATCTTGCAGCACCGGTGTTGGTCTGATGCTGGAGTCCGATGATGCTGGAGTCCCATGAGGCCGCGTATCGCGTAACCGCGTAACCAATCAGAAGCGATCCGCTGTGATTTTATATCTTACTGATTACTGATTGGTTACGCGATTACGCGATACGCGGCAAATACGTCTCATGGGACTCCAACATGAGTCTATCTGTATTAATTTTCTTTTTGCGTGTGTGTGCGGCCTTGGACAGGCACAATCGAAAGTTTTCTCTCTTTGGCGGGAATGAGGTATCGCCACCGAAAGCCGCAACGGGACCTAAATTTTTGGTTGATATTGTCGCGCTAGTACTACCTTAAAGCTAGGTCCACAACCTTGCTTTAAGAGGCCGTAAGCCGTGAGCTATAAGTTGTAAGTGATGATATATCGGCCACAGAACTTATGCTTTTAGGCCGTAAGAATTGGGTTTTGCTCAATTCGCTTAAGTCTAACATTTAAAGCCTAAAGACTGCGAAAAACAGTTTAAAGACAGAAATTATTGTTACTTAATCTCTTCCGGCTTATGACTTAAGGCTTTTAAAGCAAGGTCGTGGACCTAGTCTAACACAAAGAAAAAAATATGAAAAAAAAGATTGTACTTCAACATACAAATTGGATCGTATATTTAAAACTTCTGAATTTTCTAATAGGAGCATTATAGTAAACTTATTGGGTGCACGACCGCTCACTGAGCGCTCAGTGAGCTCTTGTACCTGTTTGGTCTATATTTTTAGATCTAATGGAATATGCCAATCAGATGCAAGAGCTCACTGAGCGCTCAGTGAGCGGTCGTGTTTCTGGATGCATTCAATGGCTGCGTTCAACGGATTCAACAGTTGAGTGAACGCTCGCTATTACTGATGTATTCTTTTAGATCATCCAATCAGCATTTTAGATCTGGAGGAATACATCAATAGCATCGAGCGTTCACTTAATTGTTGAGTCCGCTGAACGCAGCCAATGAATCCAGAACTATTTCATGATAAATATTGGGAATTTCATTGTTCGTGGAATAAATAATTTCAAAGAATTTTTTAAATCTGTTCACTTATCAGATTAATAATTGGAATGTTTCAATGACTTGTTAATCACGGACATTGTTTGGTAGTGAGACTCTCGATGAGCAAGATGCTGCTGAAGCGGTCACAGTGCAGGGCAAATTGGAGGACTTACAACAAGCGAGACGAGACTTTGTGATAGCTGTGGCGAATGTTGGTGGTAACGCGGTAAGACTCGCAGAAGAAGAAAGACCTAGATATATTTACAGGTGAGAATATCACGAGGAAGAGAGAAAATAAAGAATAAGAATCTTATTTTAGACCGTAACATGTGAGAACACAATCAATACTAGAAATTAAAATGCCTATACCGGTCGAAGCTAGATCTTTAATGCTTAAATAATTGCCTCGATAGTCTAAAAGCTTAGGACGCACATATGCGTCAAAAATTATTAAGAATTTCTAGTTAATTTAATTTAATTCGTGATATTACTACAGTAATTTAATTGCGTTTATAAGTCTGGAAAACCAATTCGGCGCGCAGTTTGAAGAACTACAAATATGGTGCAAGTACATATATAGTATATATATATATATATAATTCACATTGAATTATTTAAGCATTAAAGATCTAGTTTCGACCGGAATAGGCATTTTAATTTCTAGTATTGAATATATTTTACACTTTATGCAGGTATGCCTATTTTGTAACTAGTGAAATGGAAATAATAAGAAACTCCACGCATTGTATTTCATTTTCTTTGCAATATTCAAAGAATTTCTTAAATTCAAATATTTTAAAAAATTTAACAATGTTTCTGAAACATTGCATTGCAACATGCAATGTTGCAATGTTGTAGCAATATTGCTGCAAACATCGGTACTGTATGAATAGAGAACCGATATATTATAAATAAGATTGTTTTTAAATAATAACTTGTTTTTAAATGAATAAATTTGAGATTAACAACTTTAATTAAAGGGAACTTTCCCTCTTCTTTTCGATAACAGTGTACCAATAAATAACAATTGCTGAGCAAAAAACAAGAGAAGAATTTTCTGATAAAGTTTCATCACTTTTACATATCAGTTAGTTGGAAAATTATCAAGTCAATGTCCACGTTTAATACAGAGTTCCTGACATTGAGAGCGAGATGTTTCGTGTCGAATACGGTCGAGAACATCCAACCGTTGTGGCGGCACGCGAATTCGCCCAACAAAGTATGGCCGGAATTAGGGCGCGTGAGGCAGCTCGCCGAACTAAACGGGAATTCGAGAGGATAGCTCAGGAGCCGTTGCCGGAGGATTTGCGTTTTGATGTGCCGTTCGAGGAGGAGTTTTTACGTGAGGGCGACATATCCTGGGAAGAGGAGGAAGATATACCGATTGTGTCCAGGATAAAAACCACGATGCGCGACATACCAAGGCGCGAGGCACCTTATGAGTATCCTCCATTCGATCCAGAGGAACTAGAGAGATTTTTCGACGTGGAACAGTATCCATCAAGTCTACCACGTGGACCACCACCCGGTCGCGAGCACCTGCCGCCGGATCTTTGGGAGCTAGAGGATCCTTGGGCGACGTGCGGCGTCTGTCCACAGCCAGAAATATCTGATCTCATTCACTTCGAGAGCCCTTAGTTCTTCGTCTACCATGTACATGATCTGGTAGACTTGTTTTCGTTTTCAATTGATCTCTTTAGGATATTCTAGAAAAAAGTATACTCGATTTGAAATGTATGTTCTCATTTTTTTTCGTAATTCGTTATATTATTTATCAATTAAATTGTATTGAAATAATTTGCAGAATTGCGTACTTAATGAGGGAATCCAATGAAGAAAATAGATCGATAAATTGAGCGTTTAAACGTTTGTAGAAATATGAGAAATCATCATTTGTCATCAACATCTCCCCTGCATCATTTGATTTATTATAAGAAACTGTTTTGTACAATACTTAAATACTCAGTATTTAATTTTATGAATACTGTATTACAGAGTCTTAAATAAACATTATAGATTTTTAAAGAATATTATACTTGGTTCCTATATTTATTTTATCTTTTGAGCGAATGAATAATTTAGAAAATATTCTTCAAATTCTACCATTATTGTTAGTAATCGTAGCTTCGACAAATAATTGTAATTGTAACCAAAGTTAAAATGATTAGTGTCCATCTAGCAAAGAAATTAATGATGGATTCAAGCAATTCAAGCCGTTTCATCATTTCATATCCTTCGGGAGGGGATGGAGGAATGGATTGAAAGTTGAATATAATGCCATAATAACGTTTAAATTTTTATCTAATACTGAACTGGCTGATACGTTGGTTATATTGAGGTTGACGCGGATCCCTTGTTTGATCATTCTACCGAAAATGTTTTTGTTTAAGTTACCGACGCGGTTGTTTGAATAATATTATTAGGAAAGCAGAATTAGAGATTAATTATGAAAGAGATGAATGGTAGTGAAAGGAAGAATTGAGCAACTCTTACGAGCGCGGTCAGCTTGGAAGAAGGGCTGAGCAGCTCCTATACAAGCGCGATCAGCTCGAGAGATATAGAAAAGGAGAAGCTTTAAAGAAATCGACACATGCGTACTTCCTTTTTTAAAAATTTGCGATATTATTGAGATATTCCAGCGGTTCGGTCTGATCAGCTTGATGTAATAAAAAATGACGACCTGCTCGATTTTCGCCCCGTTTATATAGGCGTCAGTCGGTCGCGAGTCGGGAGAAAGGGGGAGCTCGAATTTCTCGGAATTAGTAATACGTGTCAAATTTGGAAAATGCTTTTTCATATGGAAATATTAGTCATACCGGACTGAAATTCGGCACGGTTGCCACGAATTCAATTTAGAACTGAGGGATCAAATCAGTTTCGTTAATCAATGGAATTTTAAAGTAATTAACAAATTAAATTTTGGGCCTCTCTCCGTGGTCCGCACTGCTCCTTCCCCGGCTCTCGATTGGTCGGCGCTCGCTAACGCGACAAATTCGCGTTTACTTATCTGTTTCGGGCTAATTAAGGCAGTCACAATGGCCAAAAGATAGTAAATTAAACAAAAAAATGTATTAAACATAACACGAGACTTCGAATTTAATAGTATTCTCGGCCAGAGCGGCTGAAATCCTACTTAGGATTCGGAGCGACGAGCGCCACACGCGTCGCGGGCCGTGATTGGTGCACGAGCTTATTCTTACTCCGAGAGATTATAGGAGTTGAGGTGCCTCGATCGGATTAATTTTTCCTAAATTTTGTGTAGGGTGGTAATGACATGACAGCTTCAACATATGGGAACGATTCCTTAATTCCGTGCGGAATTATCCTTCCAGGAATTTCGTCGCAATACATCGGCACACGCCACGCGCCTCGCAGGTGCTTCTATTGACTCGCCCTACGTGACACATCACGTGACACATGTCACGCGATGTCGGCATGACGGAATAATACTACGCCGAATAAGTTTCTCGCTAGGAATATTCGCAATTGTTTGATAGAAATATTTTAGATAGACGACGTGAAATTAAATAACGAAAAATAATTTAGCGCGAAACGAAAAGACAAAAAAAGAAAGAAAATATAAATCGCTAAATATTGGTTTTCAATATTTTTTTACTTAAGTACTATCAATTTTACAGAAAAACAGCAAGAGACAAAAATTGTTTATTTTCTTTTCATAGAGATCTAGGAATCTTTTTAGAATTTTTTATAAATTTTTAGTACTACATTTTCTTATTGGTAACTATTTTTACCAACATGAGAAAATGCGGTACTAAAAAAATTCTCAGAATTCTATGAGAAGAAAATAAATAATTTACGTCACTTGCTGTTTTTCTGTAAAGTTGATAGTATTTGAGTAAAAAATGATTGAAAACCAATATTCGGCGATTTTTAATAATTAATATCTTGTTGACTATTGCAAAAATTGCAAAATAGTAGAGCACCTTTAACTCGGGTTAGTCCGCTCTACCAGTCCACGAAATATTTGGCGGTCATTTTGGGACATCCTGTATATATTTCTTTTAGTATAGTTCAATTTTGAGCTTGTTTTTCTTATTACATACCATTGCCTATTTTGAAAGATAAACTAAAAATTCCATTTGTACACACACACAATTGTAGTGTTTAAAATTATCTGTTAGATATTCTAGCAAACTAGAAACGAACATGACGACGTCTTGAAACGTACGAATAAGACAGGAAGCCAGCACGTGTCTACATTATTATTATATATAGTCATCCCTCAACTTTCTATTGTATCACGCAATAGCATAATGTTATAACATGTCACTTCGCAAAAGGGTCCAATAAATGATATTTCAGAGATAGAAAAGTGATGGTTTAGTATCAGACACTCTCTGACATCAGTAAATTGATAAATTGACAGTGACAATTCCAGATATCCTACAATTTTATATTATTTGCGCCACGACTTACATGTTAAGGAATCAATAACATACATATGCAGCATGTATCATCCTGTTATAGTCTTTCAATGAGAAACTAAGACGAATAACCATGCTAGAAAATTTTCTGCGAGAATATAACGTTAACCGGATATTTCTATTGAGCATGGGCCTTTGGCCGTTTCAAAATAAGCCTATCAGAAATTTCTTACAAACTTTCTTCTTTCTAATCGAAATAAGTTATTGTCCCTTCGAGGTAATGCGTATGGATCAATATATTTTAGACAGATACATCCAATTTGTGTTTTTAGTTTTAAATTTTACTTTTATAAGATTTAAATATAATATATGTATACTACATCGCGCTAGCGAGCTTTATGTGTGTTCCTGTCATGAGAAGTTTATAATGCAACATATTTAATATAATAATTATAACTAAACATAATTAAACATACACACAAATGTATGACATTTTGTATTGAATAAATCGTGCACAATTCTATATTTATTTATTTATATGTAACATACTTTGTGGATGATAATCTAACGTGACACACAGATATTATTATTGTACGATCATTCGGACAATCCACAAATGATTTTTGATGCTAGTTATCAATTTATGATGTCGATCTCTTTCATTGGGAGGCAGATGAATGAGTTCTGGAATCACGACAAGGCAAGTTTTTTTTTATAACTGTAATGTGTTACATTTGTTTTTCCTTTTTACTTATGTTTATACTGTGGTAAAACTATTTCAGACTTAACATATTAAACAATTTCTATGTTTGTTGCAATCAGTTGCGACAGTTGTACAAAGCTATTGATCAGCATTGGGACATATTTACAAATGATATGGAGGTTCAAGTTATGAAAAATTATTCTATGCTATCACGAAAATTTACAAGATATTATTCGAGTAAGTATTGCAAGGATAATATATTGAATATAGCATCATATGATGTTAAAATATATAACACAATTCTCTTTTGGAATATTGCAGTACTAATGTTTAGCTTAATGTTGATAATCTTATTGGTACCATTAACACCAATATTGCTAGACACTGTGATGCCTCTTAACGAATCACGTCCGCGATTTTTTGCGGTTGAAGTTGAGTTCAGAGTGAATAAAGATGATTACTTTTTACCAATTTTATGTTATACAACCGTTGTAGTTCTGGTAGGTGCGAACGTCGTACTGAGCGTTGATGCAATGCATATCGCATGCACCGCTCATGCGTGTAGTTTATTTGCCGCTGTCAGGTAGATCAATTAAATATTGTAATAATATTGTTATAAATATTTTATATACATTTTCCGTACACGTATTTTACGTCACGTATATGTTTCGTTTATTACTAAAAAAAAACATATTTTATTTAACTTTTGTGAGATATTATTTACAGCAAACGAATCGAGAATATAATTTCGAAAGCGAGTAACAATAAAGAAAGCAGCAAGTGTAGATATCGTGTGAATATGGAACTTGATCCATTAAATGAAGAATTAATGTACAGGGAATATATAATATGTTTAAAGAAACATCAACTTGCTATAGAGTAAGTTGTTTTTTGTAATTTTCATTGTCCCTCTATAAAATGTTTGTCTCTATTCTCTCTCTCTCTCTCTCTCTCTCTCTCTCTCTCTCTCTCTCTCTGTATTAATATAATACTGTTATATAATATAATATCACTATTATATATAAATTAATTCATTAATTTCCCCAATCTAGGTTTGTTAATACATTGGAGTCATCATATCAGGGAATTTCATTACTTTTGTTAGTCTTGCTTATTGGAACTATAAGTTTGATTGCAACCCGAGTAAGCCTTAGAAACTATTCATATAGAATGTCATACATAAATATAAACATGTAACTATATATAAAATAACTAAAATGTAGTCAAATTTTTCTTTTGGTAAATGTTGACAATAAGGGACCGAACTCCGATGATTTTGACTTGAGAAGGATTCTCCCCATGTGGGGGTCTATCCCATATTCTCCTCCCTGCCTAGGAGAGGTTAAATTTATAATCCGTTTATAACTTTTTAACGACGAACAACAAGAGATGGGCTTCGCTTTGTGCGTGGAAAGTTATATTGAAAGTTATTTGTGATAGTTACAATTTAAATTATACAATTAAATACACATTTATATTGTCAACCTTATTTGTAAATATATAGCTATTTAATAAATAACGAGCGTAGGCTAAACTCTTCCACAGATCACTCAGAATCGTAACCTTCAATGGTTGTGTTCGGGGAGCGCGCTATTAGCACTACCTGCGACATATGGTCCTTGTGTCACGTGCAATGGATGATGAAAATAGAATGACAAATAGCGTTAATTATAGCGTCTCCCCGAATACAGCTAATAATATTCTGTGAAGGACAAAGTTATCGAACGGAGCTGAGTCCGTTATTATCAACATTTATCTTTCCCAGGGGTGGGCAAAATACTCAAAAAATTGTATTTAAATACGTTATTTTAAATACATGCGTATTTCAAATACTTTCCACTATTACCCTTGTCGTCGGTTATAACCTAATCGTCGGTTAATTTAACCGAGGTTGGCGAAAAAGAGCCTT